CGCGCCCCTTGTTTTTTGTTCGCCAAGTTCTAAATTTATCCTAGCAGTGTGTTTAATTTGGGCAGAAACTGGCAACCGGAGAATGTAATGGAAAGGAAAAGCAGTTGAAAATGCTCTGAAGTCAAAATTCTTACGGAATGTCAGTTCTTATCTAATACTTAATTCTATTTAATTTATAATCATTGCCTAGCTATTTTTCGAAAGTCATAAATATGATCGGCGATGTTACATTATTCGTATTCTCATTGATTGATATTGGTGCTTTGCTGTTTCTCACTGTTTATGTTGTATCCTTTTAATTATTTGGAACAAAATTATAATTATATTAAAGAAAAAGATAGAAAATATAAACACTTTTATATTTCACTATTCAAAATGTATTTTCTATTAAAAAATTATACTCTAGTGTTATTTAAATCGAGTATATTCTTATCAATTCAAATAAATTTAATCCCATTGTTTGAGTAACTTAACTCTTTATTATTTTAGTTTTATATTCGAAAAGACAAATGGTTTTATTTGAAATCGTTTACTTCTGCCCTAAAAGATAATAACTGTGAAAAATTTTTAAACTCTGTTTGCTACCAATTACTTTATAATGCAGTTATGTTTTTCCTCAGATATCTAACTCATTGAATTTAGAAAAAAATTATTACGTTTCAGGTATATCATTAATAAGGGTAGATATCTGTGCTTTTGCTGAAACGATATTTTTTACTATTTGGTTGGTTTATAAATTTCAGAGTTTCAATTTGAAACACAAATTTTTTTTCTTCAAGTGCTGTTATTTAAAAATATAATTTTTGTGAAACATAGTTTTTTTTGTTGTTAACCCACTTTTTGTGGCTTAAATCCGGTAATATTTTAAGTCTCAAATTCAAAGTAAAAAAAAAAAAACTTTTTTTTAATTATTATCCTTCTAAATAAAGAATTCAAAACTATCCACTTTTGTTGTATTTTAGTAGTAAATTTGCCCTCTTTTTTGTAATTATGAAAATATCCTATTTTTGCATTATTTATTAATATCATTATTTAGTAGTATAAAATGTATTGCATTTGTGTTAAATTAGTTTTATAAAATAAACTTTTTTATTAACTATTAAACATGAATAAGAAAAAAATAACTTTTTAGATGAATTGTGAATATTTTTTCTTAAACAGAATTTTTTCTTAATATAATATAAAGAATTTAATTTGATAATATTAAAATAATGAGTAAAAATATGCAGCATATGTATGGATGGTGTTTTCAATAGAAATGTAAACAATAACAATCTCTAGCTGAATGCCTGCTCTAGTTCTGGTTAGAAAATTTGCAGCTGCTTACTACATGTTATTCTGCAAGGCGATATTTTCAAACGGATAATTTTGTTTTCAATAAAAGAAATAAATTAGATAATTTCTGAGCTCAAATCTGCCGTATTTCATAAGATATTAATGTTATTATGCAATTCTGGTGAGTTTAAAGTGAAAATATGTTTTAGTTATTTAGAGATTTATTGTTAAAAAAGCTGACATGGTTGCTAGATTTTGAATAACTCGCTTTTTTGGCAGTCTTGATATGGCCTCTTTCCATTTGATTATTACTGCTTGTTCTTGTTGCAAGTTATGCTCCATCTTACATTAGTGTTAGCATATTGCTCGAGGAGCAAGATTAAGTTTATACATTACAATTCAGATTTAAATTTGAAAGTTGGCAAGGTTATATTGTTGACAAGGTAAGAAGTGTTTAAATAATGATTTTTTTTCATATGTTAGGTTTACATATTTCTTATTGATCAAACCACATTTTACTACTACTTAACACTGCTATTCCACAATTAATGTTAAAATTATATACCCTTTATGATTTTAACATTAATAAAATGATATAAGCGTATTGTTTTTTCATTTTGTCGTTGTGAGCCAAATGGCTTTGAAATACACCCGTAACAGTAACCCGGAAGTATAAGCGGCATACAGCTTGCAGTGCTCCCTAGTGTCGAAAACACCATCCATAAAATAAATACGTTTACACTGGTAACAGAAATAATTATAAAATTATATTGGAAAAATAAAATTTCGAAAGCACCACATTCCCATGTCGAGTGTAGCAAACATAATGTATTTAACAAGCAGATAAAAATAAAGTTTATCTGTTTTAACTCTTTCAATAATTACTTTAACTGATTTAAAAAACCTTACAGAATATAGAAATAGTGATGGTCTATTTTATTTTAAGACCTAATGACTTAGTCATAAATTTGCTCACATTAATTCATTTTAATTCATCGAATTTTTAAAGAATGAGGCTTACTTTTTTATGGGTTTTAAACTAGCCGGCATCGTTAAGAGTTAAATGAAATATTGCAATAACAATATTTTCAATTTAAATTATTATACAGCACTGTACTGATGATATTTTTTATTGTAATTTTTTCGTTGAAATAAAAAGAGGATGTTACAAATACAAAACGGCAATAAAATTTGAATTTTATCTGCGTTATGGGGAATAATTCTTTATACTATTTTTTGACTTAAAAGTTAATTTTATATGTCATAACTCTTGAGGGTAAATTATTAATTATCAGTTACACACTAAATATCAAGTTAAAACTCAAAATGATTTTCTCCCATAAATAAAATACATTTTTAAAAATTTAATGAATATTTTATTTAAAAGACAATCTTATACAAAATTTTTTTCTTCTTTCTAAGCAGGTTTGCTAATATGAGCAAAGGCTCCAAACATCTGAATTTAAGGCTTATAAATGTAAACTATGAATTTTTATGTTAAGATTTAGCGTTATGAAGCTAATATTTGTTTGTTTGTAATATTGTTAAAGCACAGGTATTTTATTCTTTAAGAATAAAATACCTGTTTTTATTCTTAAGACAATCCCTTTCATTATATTATCTATATTTTATGTAATAAATGTTTCCTTGTAACAATAAATCTATTTCAGAAGATGAGAGAACTCTTGTATCAAATATTAGTGTAAGCTTACTTTTTTCAAAGACTTTTTGAAAGAAACTTACTTGTGTTTGTGTCAAATGACGTGAAAAGGAACAATGAAAACTTTTCAGAGCTAGTTTAATGGTTATGTAACTTTTAACTTATATTCTGTTGATTATTGAGGATATTTTATATCCAGCCAGTAAGTATATTTGCATAAGCTGAATTTTACTGTCATTTTCTTTTCAAACTTAGAAACTTGAAACAAAGTAATAGTTTGGCTTGATAAATATACAACAATAAATTTAATAACCAAAAAGCACACCCAAAAAACTGGATAATTTGTATCCTTGTATGACGTTCTGTGTTTTGTTCTCCTAGTAAACTCTCTGAACTATTATCACTGCAATTTGTTTTTTCTGTAACCCTTAGTGTTATTTTCATTCCTCTCCGACTAATATTTAAGTGTTGAATGCATATTAAAGCAAATTCAATTGTAGTGGCTTGTCCAAATGAAGGTTTTGGGATTTTTTAATTTAACTAGAAAATATATCCATTTGTTAAATTTTATTCTTCTGGGAGCAAACCTGTTTCAATAAAATTTGCTTTCGTTTTCATTTTTTTTTTTTTTTTTGTTTGCACTAAATAAAATTTTTATGGATTATAACTTAACTTTGTTAAGGTCATAACTCTATCTGATCTCGAATGTGATTATTTAAATGCTCAACAATGTTGCTCTAAATTAAACAGAGTAAGTATTTTTATTTCTACTATCAAATGTATTGATATGGGATAAAGGAAATACGTCTTGAAAATAAAATAGTTGTTAAAATCCCGTTCTTTAATTATGACTATCAATTTCTAAAAAATAATTTTCTTTTAGAAACATCTATTTTTACTAAAATTATTCTTTTGTTAAATGAATTCATAAAAAGAATAATTTGTCATGAATATTTTGAAGAAAAATTGCAAAAAATATTATATTTCATAATAGAAATTTTCCAAGATAGTTGCAAAAACATTATAAAAGTATTCCATGATACCGTGAGTGATAAAAGAATGAGATTTAATGGAATGCTGCATCTGCGCTTCTAACAAAATTATGTGGTAATCGGCCAAAAACATTAACTAGGTCACTTTTCTACATTTTTGGAAATTCCCAATTTCTGGCTGCTTCTTCTGCTCTCCAAAATTTATTCAATAATCTTCTTAGGTTTATTCAATCTGGGAGTCAAACTTAAATTTACCAATTTTTTTCTCCACAAGAAATTTTTTTTCTCCCTTTCCTACTAATTTATTCACTGACTCCTGTTGTGTCAAATCCCAATGAGTATGTTCCTGGAAAGATGACGTCAGTGCATTGCTCTATTATTAATCAGTTCTACAATCCTTGAACTTGGGGATTATTCACTTATTAAAAGTTTTAATGTGGGTTTAGGAGATTCAATGACGGAGCTTTTTAATTTCAAAAGTTTTGTATCTCTTTTAATCACTTGAATTAATAAAGATTAAGGTTTAATTACAATTCTATTAGTGCAAAGTTTGTAACTGAACATCATCTACTAATGTACAAGCATTTAAGACTTCTTTTTTATCTTACTTAATTTATGGTTTTGAAGATTTTTTAGTATTTTGCACTAATAAATTTCTGTACTTTATTAAAAGAAAATTCTTAAACTTTTCATAAACGAGATATTTTGAAATTGGGCTGGTTGAGAGACCCATCACTTATCTAACAATGTTTGTGAATCTTACGTGATTTAAATTTGTTTTTTCAAAAAATAAATTTATATATANTTTTTTTTTTAAAGGAGAGGGAAAGATGAAGAAATGTTTGTTTATTTTGATTGTTAAAAAGTGTCCGGGAAATCGAGCCTTCCGGAAAAGGGACGTCCGGATATGGGACGTTACACTGTATATCAAATTCTTTAGTCAACATTTTATTTAAAAAAATGAAATTAATGAATAAAGAATTGATAGAGTGGTGAATAAAAGGATGGGACCTTCCGCATATCCATAATTTCGGATCCTCATTAATTTTGACAAAAATGTTTATAATACAGTGGAAAGTCGCGTATCCGGAATCGGCGGGACTTCCTGAAGTCCGTATATTTGATTTTTCCGTATAATTGACCTCCAAGGTAAACGAAGCTTAAAATGATCTGAATCTAAGAAGCAGAAAATAAATAAACATTATTTTTCGGGCAATAATGTTTTAGTATTAGAATGATATCTAATCAATCATAAACAAAATTATAAAAAAAAAAAATAATTATTGCTATTTTAAAAATAAATATAAAAAACGAAAAAAATTCACATTTATGAAAATATTAATTGCTCTCTCCGCCATTTTGAACTAGAACGATTCAAGCAAGAAGGGGAAATTCCCGTCATTCATTAAGGTGGGTAGGTGGAGAAGAAAAATTCATTTCCTCCTTACTTGTCATTCAAGTTGAGGGCAGGGTAGTGACAAATTCTTACTTTCTCTCCATCATTGGCTATCAATCAAGCATAAAGGCATGACATGCTGATTGGGTTCTCTTTATTTTTTGTTGTGTGACTAAAGGGGATTCCCCCTCCACTTTAGCATTTGCTGTGATTACCCTTATTTACAGTATTTCTTCTTCCCCTGACACTCAAATAAAAAGGCTTCAGGAAATGCCTCTTTTACTAGCTAGCTGCATAGGAAAGAAGGGGGAGGGAGGGGACTCAGTTGTGCTCTTTTGAAAACAAATATTCCCTCCCTTTCCTGCATTCCAGAGGAGGAGCGTCATGGTCTTAGTAGATCTTCTGTTCTCTTTTCTGTTGATTTATGGGTTCAATGCATAGATCTCTAGAAGCTGAGAAATAAAAAAAACCTGTCAAAAACTTTTTTTTTTTTTAAGGAGAGGGGAAGATGAAGAAATGTNTTTTTTTTTTTTTAAAGAGGGGAAGATGAAGAAATGTTTGTTTATTTTGATTGTTAAAAAGTGTCCGGGAAATCGACCCATCCGGAAAAGGGACGTCCAGATATGGGACGTTGCACTGTACTTTTTTTTTTTTTTTCAAAATTATTGAATCTTTTTTTAGTTCTTTAATTAGAGAAGTTTTGAATTCAATTATAAATTTTAATTGAATATTGAGTTTTTTTCTTTGAATTGTGAGTTCATTTTTTAGTCTGTTTTATTATTTCCTTAATTGTTTACATGCCAGTTAAATGCCAAGTTCCAAAATTAGGTTCCAGGAGATGTGGTGGTGATTAAACCTCATTTAGAATGAACTCTACTTTTAGACTTTCTTTTCTTGTTTTTGTTTTTACAGTGTTGACGATTAATTAATTGTAAGTACTTATCAGAACTAGGACATTTTTTTCAGCTAAAAATAATATAATCAGCATTGATAATTAAATGAAAAGAAATTTAAATGAGATTGGCTACAGAAATTGCATTACTGTATTTAATAAAAATATGTAATTTTCTGTTTTTGCAACAATTTGAAAATAAAATATTTACTAAGAAAATATGGATATGCGACAAGGAGAAACAAACATACCACTCTTATTTAAATTCTCTCATACAATAAAATATTAAATTAAGTATTAATTTGAATTTGTTGATAACGTCATACCATTAATCCATCGTCAATCAAAACTTGTCTTATCACACTATATTTGAATAAAAAAATAACAGTTAAGAATGAGGAGGGAATACCATTTTCAGAGTTAAATACCAGGTATCAGTTCACAATTTCAGAATATTTTTAACTGACAAAGACATTTATTTTTGAATAAATCCATAGGGATTGTAAAACTCATGAGAGGCTCATGGAAAATCAAAATCTCTGTATCTATACTGGTTGCTATGCTGCTCATCTTGATAATGAAACCTTCATACACAGATTAGCGATGTTGTCAACTTGACTTAATATAATTTTTAAATTTTTGTTCTTTAGTGGGTTCTTGCTGAAATCATAGCTCAAGCCCTGGTTACTTTGTTTTTGTTAATTGAGTGGCATTGGATTTTGTTCCTCATAAACTTGCCTATGACATGTTGGCAAGTGTATAAGTAAGTATTTATTATATAATTAGTATTAATATAAGATATATGTTTCAAAGAAATCTTTTTTTAATTTAAATTAATACGAATTATTAAAAAAAAATTTTCTTCTTCAAAAAAACATCTTTTTTTTTATTTATTTTTCAGACAAGCAGTAAGTTTATATATATATATATATATATATATATATATATATTAA